GAAGCGGTTGAAACGCAAGTGTCAGCCCAGCTGGGTGGAAGGCAGCGTCCTCCCGGGACCAGGGGCCGGCATGGAGCAGAGGCGCTGCCCGTCTCGAAGCGGCTGCAGGGGGGGGGTCTCTCTCTTGCAGCCCCAGCACGTGCAGGAGGACGGAGCTGACGGTGGCACCAGGCTCCTGCCCCGCTCCCGGGGGGATGCTGAGCCGACCCAATGGTTCCTGAAGGCCACGTCCACCCGAGCCAAGGTGTGCCAGGAAACACCGGCCTACCAGCCGGGAGCTTCTCCCCTGCAGGAACGCTGTGGGATGCTGCGAAGGGGGATGAGACGTCCCCATCTGCTGCTGGTGCAAAGTGCCACTGCGGTCGCCAGCCCTTCAGAGTGGCCTCTGCTGCTGGCACTGGAGAGGGCGAGCGCTCAGCCCGGCAGCCCTCGGGTGCCCCAAAATCCTCGCTGCCTTCTGGCAGCAGAAAGCTCCGGCACAGGCTGCGATGGGCCGGGGAGGGGGCTCAGGGCAGCCCGCCTCCCCCTGCACGGGGGGCAGCTCCCCCCCAACCCCTCCAGGGGCTCTGCAGGGAAGCGCAGCAAAGCGGGGTTTGCTGATTTCTTACCTTGAATTCTGTCTGAAATTGGTGGCAATTTGGCCTCTGTCAAAGATGATGAATAGCCTGGGAGCAGGCAGGGAACGGCTACATGGATCTGGTAAACAGAGAGAGGGGGAGGCAGGGGAAATTCAAGGCTGAAAATGCTTTCAGCAAAGGGCTAATGGACTCTGGGAGGTGAAGAGGAGTGCAGGAGGGGACAGGAATCCCCCCCAGAACCGCCGCGGCCTCTGAGCCCCCTCCCCGTGCCAGGGCCGCACGAGGATGCCGGGGAGCAGCTCCTGCCCGCGCTGCCGCTCGGTGCCTTCCCGCCGGGTTCAGAACCGCAGCAATTCAGCAGAAGAGGATTTCCAAAGGCAGAAGGGAAATTCTGCATGCACTCGGAAGGGAGGTTAACAGGAACCTGTAATCCCTCTTTAGCTGAAACTGCCAATTGCTTTGAACAGCTGCTCCTCCGAGAGCGCACAGGCAGGGCGGTGAGTCACCGACACACGGCGCTGCCTCGTCGAGAGCCTCTGCAGTCCGCAGGAAGCCGAAGCGCATACCGCAGTTGTCTCTGTTCAGGGCACTCAGAAATCCCCAAGCGGCAGAGCTCCGCTCGCCTCGGCAGCGCCGTCCTCACGCCTCGAACCGTCCTTCCTCCGAGGGACGTCGGAGAGAAACTCCTCGCCCCGTTGGCGTCCGAGCGAGCGGCGTCGCTGGCTGCGCGGCCCAGCTGGCGCGGAGGACACGCAGGCGTTTACTCTCTGCTTGGAAGATGCTCCCAGGACGTGGCACCTCGGTTTGGGGACAAACGCTGCAGAGGACGGAGGGGCCGTGGCTCCGCCGGGGGTGCAGGAGGCTGCGCTGGGACGTGGGTCGCTGCCTGCACTGGTGTCTCTGGGGACCCGCCAGGCCCCCGAGCCGGCATCCCCGAGCGGCATCTCTGCGCCCAGAACTGTAGAAACTCATTATTGCCAAACACATGCAGGTTTCTTTGACATTATTTCTCACTTTTTATTTTATAATCAGTATCGGGAAAAAAAAATAAATGGCACATTACAACTTAAAGCAGATTGATACAGTGACAGCCCACGAACATCTGCAGAATAGTATAAAAGGAAGCTGCATGATTGTTACTGTTTCAAGAGAAATTCATCCTTCCTGAAAACTTCTTCTTTGATGCCAGAAACAAACTTTAGGCCATTTAAATATCTAGCGGCATTTTTTTAAAAGTAGGACTATTCCTCGAAACAAACTCCTTTACAAGCTTCAGATCAGAATTCACAATACTGTTCAACGTTAAATAGCATCCCGTTGGTGTTAATACCATTTTTTGACACATTTAAAGCGCAGGTAATAACTCACTCAATCGCTTTGGCATTTGAAAGAAAGAAAAAAGTTTTGCTATGGAGAACCGATGTCGTGTGGTATTTACTAGGGTGACCATGGGTTCAAAAGCATCTGCAACAGCTCTTTCAAATTTCCCGTTTACAACTGGATGGGCTTCTTCCGAGTTAAAAACCGGTGCTTAGAAACTGCTCAATCAGGAGAAATCTTTGCGAACAGCAGACCCAGCCGCCCCAGCACCTTACGGCTGCTGCTGGAGCCCCGGCGCAGGGAAGGGCCCAAAGCCGCGCACGTACGAGCCTACGGCGGCCAGGGGGGCTGCAGTGGCCTTGGGGCAGCAGGACGGAGCTACCAAAAAAGCCAGAATTGGCATTTCAGCTCTTCGGAGCAAGCGCTGGGCTTCGGGCTTTGGGAGGAGCCGAGAGGCTCGGCCGGCAGCACCCGCACTGCGGGTGCGTGTTCACACCAGGGAAAGGTTTCGTTAAAAACACTTACTTGTCACTGAGGCTAAGAAGGCTAAATATTAAATTTTCATGATTATATTAAAAGACTAGAAACAGGGATGAGCAGAAAGCACATGCTGGAGAGATTTCTCCTCATTGCCACAGCCTGCACCTCTCCGTTAGCCAATGAACCGTTTTCATTTTCTACAAATCCAGTGTCCCAAAAGCACATTGCAGTGCCCACCGCACATCACCCACCCTTCAGGCACGCCCCAGACCACGTGAAGACATTTCTGGCTTTGAAATATGGTCACTCTAGTAGTGGTACTAAAGAAAAACCACAAATGCAAGTTCTGCAATGGAGAATGTCACCACAACAGCAGTTGGGACTGGATGATAGAGATGCAGGAATGAGATCTACACAGCTACTTAGCTCTTGGCTTCAGGTTTAAAAAACTCAGAGTTAACAAAGGAAAATCCTTCGAATTCTGACTGGTCAATGTTCCTGATGACTTCCTGGTCAGGAGGTGTTAAGACGGGTGGATGGCGAGTGAAAAACCGGTCGAAGTTTTCAGCATTGCGTCCACACTATGAGAGGGGAAGAAAAGAACGTATGGTGGGTGGAGAAAGAAGCGTGGGGGACGCGGCTGCAGCCACCCGCCCAGCCTCGCCGCGCGCCGCCGCTTAGCTCGGAGCAGCAATGGCAGAAAAGAAAATAAAGGTGCAAAACAGGCATGAGCTTTGTTAGTCGCAAGGCCGTGGTACCTCATGGCACAGCCGGAGACCGGCAAAACCCTCCGGCTGCGCCATGGCAAGTAATTGCAGGAGAGGAATGAGATGGGAGCGCCATCACTCGCTGCCGTCCCCTGCCTCCGCGCTGCTCTGGACCTGCTCAGGCTGCGCCGCGCTTCTGACAGACCCTGCAGCTTCCCCCGCTCCTCATCCCTCCCTTCTGGGAGGGCTCAGAGCCCCTCCTTGGCCCTGCTCAAGCAGAGAGCTCAGAGCTGCCGGCCCAACGCTTAACCGCAGGCACTTGTGCCCTGGAATGCCCAGGGCTGCTCCGTCCCTTCCCGACGCGCCCATCGGACCCAGACGGTCCGTGCCGGTGGCGGCCGATGCTCTCTGGCATCCCTGGAGTTCTCCACGGCAGCTGGGCAAGGCTGGCTGTCCCCAAAACCCTGCCCACAGCGGCGTTTTCTGCTCTTGCCCCCAAGGGCAGCTAAAGCCAAGCCAGGGCAGGAGTCCAAGAGCGCCGGCGAGCTCTCTGCAGCCGGCAAAGCCAGACCAGAGAGGAAACCGAACGCTCCGGAGTCCGGGCGACCACCGCCCCGGGTGGCCCGGCACGGGGCTTGGAAAGCACCCGAGAGCACCCACGGCTCGGGGCTGCCGTGGAGCAGCGGCCTGGCAGGGCTGCGGGCTCTGCAGCCACAGCGGGGCTGGGAGCAGGGGGACGTGCCAAACGCCTTATTTAATTTTCTGAGCAATCAAAACAAGAGTCCTGTAACCTCCCGTGCTGCAAGTGATGATTCAATGTAACGACAGCACTAGCGAGGAACAGGCGGATGCCGGGTCACTGCAGCAGCTACAGACTGGGCTCAATTACTGCCTGTCACACGCGTGTCACACCGCCACGGCTGGCTCTGCTCGAGGGCTGGCGAACCCGCCCGGCTCCCGGTCTCCTGGGCCTCTCTTCTGTGAAGAGATGCAGAAGGCAGCACCTCTCGGTCCCTCAGTCCTCCCCTTCCAATTCCGCACCCATACGCTTCAAGCGCTGGGACAATTTCTCCTGGCATTTAACTTCCATTTGCTAAGGAAACAGATTTACATTTGTAATCAACATCAGACTAAATATAATAAAATATTGAAGACAAATCCGTGTAAACTTCAACATTTCCCAGCTCCTGCCTCTGCCAGAGAGGAGGTTTCAGGGAGGACAACGTGAACATCCATCAGGCTCCAATGGCATGTTCCTTTGGCAGCTCTTATATGTTCATATAGCGCCAAGTGAGACACTTATTATCCCCAAGTCTCCAACAAAAGTTCAGCGGGTAACATTTGAGTTGATTTAACTCCAGTTACTGCTGTGCTGACGCCTCTGAGCCCGTCCTTCCACCCCGCTGTACCTCTCATATTGCGTAAGGCCACGTCTCAACCTACAGCGCGTTTCTAGTCTGGATTTGTCAAGCTGCTGCTCCCAAGCACGTCTCCTGTCTGTCACCAGGAGCTCAGTGCTAGGTTTCTAACTCAGAACTCAAACTTACTTGGAGGCAGTTTTCCCCCTCCTGCATCTTTTCTCGGCTGCTGTGGCCACACACGCCGCAGCATCAGCCCCACTGAACAGAGCTTCTGCCTCTGGCCCCAGGGCCGAGCCCACAGCTGAGCCCAGGCGAGAGCAGATGCTGCCCTTGCTGCTGAAGGTTACAATACGGTTGCTCTTTTTTAAGTATTTTGATGCAAAAATGAGTCGGTGCCACCCAGGGGAGGAGTTAGGCAAAAAAAAAAAAAATCATCCAAAGACAAACAAAATTCCCCAAACCAACATGCAAACAGAGTGCAAAGCAGTTCCCCAGGAGGGCACTGAAGCGGAGGAGGGCTCCCCAGAATGAGCCTGAGAAGCCTTTTGGTGCAGCCCATGAAGAGCATCGTGTGGTGGGGGAGAACCTGCCCCAGCTGCCCTGGGCCGTGGCCTCAGCACGACGCCGGAACAACTTTGTGGAAGTCCCTGATTTCAAGCACGGGGACCCAAATGGAGAATGACCTCTGCAAAGAAAGGGTGAGGCACCAGAAAACACAGAGCCACGGTCAAATTAACCACAGAAGCCCCGTAAGGAGATGACGGGGAGCCCAGGGAGCAGCCTGGCAGCACACAGCTCGGGGTCCCTCTGTAAAAGCCCGACGTCTCGTACCTTGCCAATCCCTGACCGCTGCACGGGCCCCATCCCGAGGCCATTCTTCACATTTTTTCTTCTCTCTGAGCACCTTATTCTTGAGAGCAGCAGGCAGGCGCCAACTAACGGGGGGTGCCCGTCTCGTGGGCCAGGGCGCAGGAAGAAGCGGCCGAACAGGGACGTTCTGGCGACCTTCCCCTCGCAGCTGCTCCGGCGCTGCCCGGCTGCAGCTCCCGTCTGATCCCAGCCCGCTGTCCCCGCTGGGCCGGGGCGGGGGGGAGCAGCCCCCCAGGCCTGCCCAGGGCCGGGCTGTGGCAGCCGAGCGGGCTTAGAGCGGGCACTGTATCGCTGGAGGGCTCGGAGGCCGGCAGATCCCCCTCCCCAGCGCAGCGGGACAGCAGCGACGCTCAGGGGCATCCAGAAACCAACAGCGAGGGCGTCCAACAACCCCCACCGTAAGGAATCTGACCAGGACCCGTCACAGCTCCAGTTTGTTCGGGAAGAGCCGGTCGTTGCTCCAGACCACGCAGTCGAGTACAGCTTCAGTCTTGCACAAGCGTGGTTTAGACGTTTGACAAGTCAGCAACAGTCAAACACCTTCCCGAAAGCCATCCCGGGAATGTCAAAACAGAAAATAAATTCCCAAAATTGAAGTTGCCAGTTCCACGAAGCCTGGGAGCTAAAATCATGAAACAAAGAGACGGGCTTTCCGGGGCCACGCTGTCACTAGCCTTCCCCTTCAGCACCAAGATAAAACAAACCGTGAGCAAGGTGACCGGGAGAGCCTGGAGTGCTTAAGGTTATGCGCGCAGTACCATGACCACAGCAGGGTTTACCTCCTAAGGAGCCGCTCACCTGCGGAGTTTATCAACTCCCAATGTGCAGGGAAAGCCTTACAGTGCTTTGAACATGGAGCTGTCACTGCCTATGAGCTTCAAGAGATCTTGGTGGAGACATGCAAGGCACTTCATCTGAAATGTCTGACAGCACCAGCCTCCTTTCTGCCATAAAGAAATGTGCTGTCTCTTAAAAAAAAAAAAAATCAAATAAGAGTCACCCTGAAGATTTAAAACTAATCCTTGTGAAATGCTTCATTACTGGGATGGAAAACACAAATATATGTTGAATATGTATATCGGCAAGGAATAATTCTCATCACGATGCAATAAGGCAAGAATATGTGGATGGAAAATGTTAAAAGTTGCCACAGTATTTCACACTAGGCATAGTATGAAAAACTCCACAGTATTTCACGCCCAGCTTTGTGAAGTTTGTAGGCCTTCTGCTCAGATGCACGAGAACTTGTCCTGGTCGGGACACCGATCCACACAGCCTCCTCTGTGGGAACTTCCACATGGATAAAATACACCCTGTCGGGCTGGAAATCGTGTTTGGGTTCACAGGGGCCCCATCCAAGCCCAGTCGCCGGCTCCCCAGGCCGCGACACGCGTCCGTGCTGCCCGTCCCGAGCTGCCCCCGCCGCCTCCCGGGCACGGGGCAGGTTTCATTCCCGGGCCGAGGCCCAGCGCTGCTGGAGTTCCAGACACAAGGTCTGGCCCGTGCGTGTGACAGGAGAGAGCGAGAAGGCTCCAGGCTGCTCCGGAGGGCAAACGGGGGCGATCTGCAGCAGCATCGTCTTTAAAGCTCCCGAAATCCGGTTCCTCGTTAAAGGACGGGAGACATGCTGCATACATTTTTACATTTATCTAAAGCCACGTTGTGAAAAATCTGCCTCATTTCAGCACTGTATTAATGTACAGGCATCACTCCATCCTGAATGGAGAAAGGGGGAGGGTGGGAATTTATCTTACATAAATCCCCAATGTGTCCTGTCTAATATTTATAGCCAGCACAGAATGACTTTTTTTTTTTTTTCCCGAGCTGCAGAAATAAAACTGTCAACTTAGAAGATAGCCTTTTTATTTTATCAGTTTCTAGCTTGATTTCAAATAGAGAAAAAAGGCATAATAAAATATTTTCCATTGATCCCTGAGATGCAATCAAAGATCATAAAAAGCCAAGGATGGCTGTTCTCCTGCTGCGATGAAGCCCTCGCTCCCAGCGCTGAGGGGAAGTGGGGGGCTGAACATGCCCTTGATTTCCCAGTTTTTTGGTGTAAACCAGTGGTACAGCCACAATCCCACTGGCCTCACAGGCACCTCTTGGGCAAGTCTGACCTTCCTGGTGCTGCTCTGGGTTAGAAACCCGTCTCCTTGCCACCTGAGGGAGGATCAGGGCTCTCGGACACTTCTGGGAGGAGACGCCTTGTGTTTGGGGGACTTTGGCTTGAGCAGGACTCTGGGGCCACACCAAGGGCCCCTTTGTGCTGGTCGGGAAACGGGGAACAAAGGTGCTTTTCGTTCATGAGCGTCTGGCTAAGGAAGCCAGAGCCCAGCTCAGGATGCTCCAGCACATTCATCCCTGTTCCAGGCAAAGGCTGGGAGCGTTCCCTGTGAGGGTTTTCTGATGTAGGACCCTGGTTTTCATCTCTCTCCTACGAACAGAGCCAAGCTGCTGCCCCGTATACTGAAAATATTGGCTGAATTATCAAAAGGGAATCTCAGAGAAAGTCTTTACAGGACCCTGAGGCTACCAGAGCAAATCTTGACTCAAGTCTGAGAGGAGATGTTTAACCTTAACACATGCGGCCACCTCCCCAGGGCACGCTCCTGCCCGCTGTTGGCCTCCTCAGTCCCTAAATCTCATCTAATTAGGAAATTCCTTATGCAAACATCTGAACTCACCTTGTAAAGGCTGAAACTAGGGCTGCAAAAACACACATGCACGAGAACCGGAGCTTTTACACATCCAGGTCTGTAAATGGCATTTTAATATTAATTAATTCAAAGCAGTTAGGGGAAAATTAATTTACGCAATTAGAAATTATTAGATTAAAAGCAAATATTTTTTTTTAAACCACTGTCCTGTTGTGAGTACTGTGTGCTGCCATATGATTTCAGTGCTTTCAAAATGAGGAGACTTTTCAAATCGCTAGGCTTTATGTAAAGTAAAGGAGTAATTAGATACCAGAAACAATAATTATCTCAATGAAAGACAGAGAAAGCAGGCAAGTGTAAACACACTTCCCGGGGTAAATGCAGACCCACGAAAGGAATTGTTATGCACAAGCCAAACCACGGAGCAGCCAAGCACAGCCCCATGTCAAAACCGACGAGTTTCTGCACACCGAAGACAACCCAGACCCTGATCTGTCTCGTTACCGTCTCTGTGATAAAGGTTAATCAAGCACAAAGCAGGAAGCAACACGTGAACTCCTGGGAAATTATTTTCAGCTCCGGAACGTAACACCCAAGCCAGGCAGAGGGCCGGAGTCTCCGTTTTCCCGCTGGTGTAAAAGGATGCAGGTTTCTGGGACGTGACGTGGAGCCCGTCCCGGCCACGGGGATGGCGCAGAGAAATTTTGAAGCTTTGGCTTGCAGAAAATCCCTGTAACCTTATCTTTATAGAACCTCATTTAAAAAGAAAAATTAAAGAAACAGACTTAAGCCAAGGTAAAGAGCCAGGCTAGCACAGAGGCCCTGCAGGAAGGGCTGAAGGCCGGGAGCAGCACGCGGCGCCCAAACCCGGGTTGTCGTTTCTGTGCTGCTCTGATCCGCGCTCACAGCTAGCGTGAAAGGAGCAGCATTTTCCAGCACAGATGCACTGCTGTTGAAATATCAGCTATCAGCAGGTACCTGAGTTGTCTTAAATCCTCCCTAAATCCTAAACCAGCTGTGCCTACCTCTCCGTTAATCTCCCTGTCCTATCAAATGTGAATTTTCCCTAGCGCCAGCCGTTGGGTGAGACGCAACGGACGGCAGCTCACCGTCCCCTCCTCGAGGTCCGGCATCGGAAGGATTTTTAAAGAAATAAGATGTTTAAAGCAGGAAGAAATTTGCACGTTTTAAAACATCAAAAACCAGTAAGAAAGCACTTTTAGCAGAAATCAACTGTTTTTAACCGTAAAGCACCACACAGTAAGGCTGTGCCACAGCCCAAGACAAACAGCGTCGCTGGGGATCTGCGCAGGGACAAAGGGCAGGCGCAGAGGAGGGACGTGGCAACAGCTTCGTTAGCAAACGAACCCAGAGGTGGGCAGCAGCAGGAGCCAGGGATTTCAGAGGAGCGGGGTCTCACAGAATAAGCCCCCCCGAAGCCCCGGTGCCTCCCGACAGGCTCTGGCTGCGGGGCAGCGTCCCCCCAGGGCTGGAGCTCACAGGCTCGTGTCTCGGCATCCTCCGTGCACGGGCGGGATCCCCCCCTGAGCCAACAAATCCCGGCGTGTACAAACAGCCCCAAGTGCTTCTGCAGGATCATACTTGGGTTATCAGAGTTAACGACTTCCCAGTAGCGCCTTTCCTACGGCCTAATGGCCTGAAGATCCCTTTCCTTCCGAGGGAAAGGAACGCAGGCAGCGATTCGGGTCTCTGCGAGCACCACCAGCTGCCTACAGCACCCCGGAGCTCCACGTTCCCGAGCCAGACGAGGAGAACGGGACACGTTTCTCTTTGCTGATGCAGAGGGCAGCTCAAGGCCGTGCTGCACAGAAGCAGCTCTCAGCCATGGCAGCGAAAGGCTCCGAGGACAGCACGAAGGCAGCACCGCACAGGAGTTAACTTTGTAAAAACACGTCTGAAATTAAAATACGCGGCGCCAAGCGCACACAGGGCATCGCTGGCAGACCTGGGGCGAGGAGCTGACCTCCCCCTCGGCAGCCGCTGCCCCATCCATACCGTGTGCCGGGAGGGAGATGAGGCTGCGGAGGCTCCTGCCAGGCCCAGCTCACGGCAGGGTTATTCGTATTTGATCAGTCAAGCAAGGAGCTGTAGAAGGGAAAAGGCTGCGGGAGCAGAGAGGCATTCAGAGGGAGCAGAGCGGAAGGAGCTGGGCACCCCACACCAAGTGGATTCCCCCTCCACGATTTCCCTGAAAGCAGAGTTTTTCCAAGCACTGAAGGGGTCCCTTCAAAAGAGCAGGTTTGCTGTAAAGCAGAGGAAAAGCTGACGTGTCCCAGGTTGTTAAGGGCAGCAGGGCAGGGGAAGGCTCAGCTGAATACCCAGAGCCTCCATCTCTAGGCTCCGAGCTGAGATCCAGGATGACGGGTTAAGAGGGTGCAATGTTCCCACCTTGACCACTGGGCAGACATATCAGCTCCTACCAGCCATGCAAACCAGATTTAACTTTGGAGTCCCAGTTTTCTGTAAAACGCCAGCACCCAACTAGGGCACAGCAGCCAACAGGCGTGCAGGAGGTGGAAACTTATGAGTAAGTCCATGCCTTAAGGACCCGGACCACCACAGAGAGACCCAGAGCTGTGAGCCTGCCGGTCCCGACAGCGGCGAGGAGACACAGAAATCCAGGCAGAGATGGCCCTGTCCCCCAGGCTGCGCGGCCACTGCTGCCCGCGCGTCCTCTCTTGGGAAGGGCAGAGAGATGCAGCAAAACCACATCAAAAAAAACACAGTTTGCAGGCTCGTGCCCTCGTGCTGCTTCAGTCTGAGCCTCACAGGCAGCAGGAGATGGAACCCGCTCTGCTCCCCGCCCCGGCACGTGTCACTGCAACGGCGGCAGGACCACGGAGCAGGCAAGCAGTCTCATTTTTTTTTGACAAATAGCTTTCAGATTACTCATGCCTCCACCTCAGCTTCGCTGCTGGCAGCTTATCTCCCCCTCCAGCCCCGCGCTCCCAGCACACGCCGCAGCCCTCTCGCTAGCGGAGCCCATCTCAAACAAGGAGACGAGAGCGAGCAGCCGCGTTCCCCTCGCTGCGGAGCTCCTCTCCCCTCCTCTCCTCCCCTCTCCCCTCCTCTCCTCCCGCACACCAGCCAGGCTCCAGCTTTTCCACCGCTTCACCTTGGAGAGAAACTGTTGAGTGAAATACAGCTCCGTGGCCAATTCAGACAGACTATGGCGCTGAGCTAGATGTTGAAATAAAGTCGAGATTAAAAAGGAGAGAGAGACCTGTTCAGCTTGAGAAGAAGGGAGGAAAAAAGCCAACAGGACGAGCGACCCTTGTGATAACAGACAGACAGCGCTGCAAGGCCGGTAAATCCGTGAGCGAAACGCGGCATTTCTACCCCTGCAAGTCAGAGCCAGACAAGGCGCCGCAGTCCCCCCGTCCCAGCAGGGGTCTGACACGGGCCGCGCCTGAGGAGACGCGATGTTTGACGCAGAAACACGGAACCTCCAGGCCGTGGGCAGGACGAGCCGTGCCGGCACGTGTGCCTGGGCGAGTGCACCCACGGGCCGGGGGGAGAGACCGTGCGGGAGAGAACCCGTGTGCGGGAGAGCGGGAGGGCAGAACCACGCTTCGCGCGGCCAGACTTACAGCCTTTGGCTTGAAGGGGGGCTGGATCTCCTTGCGCTCCAGCTTATCCCAGTCGATGTAGCGGAAGAACGCGTGCTCCTTGATGTCCCGCTCCCCTTCCGGACCACAGCCCAGTCGCTTGGCAGGGTGCTTGGTCATCAGCTTGGAGAGAGGAAGAGAAGAAACAGTCACTCACAGGGTGTCCAGCTGCTTCCCAAAATGTCCACTTTGAGAAGTCCCCAGGGTGCTGTGACACCCCCAGCTCCCATCTCTGCTGCTCTGGGGCTCCAAGCAGAGGACAGAGGGAGAAGCCGGGGCAGCTCCAGGGTCAGGGAAGGCTGACAATGGCTTACGACAGCAGACTAAGCAGATCGCAGGTACACGAGCACCTTTTTCCTCTGGGAATGAAACTGGTTCACCAAGAATTACTGTTGGGTGACGGCAGAGCTCCCCGCACCGCTGCAGCCTCCCCAGCCTGCTACAGTGGGGGACCGGGACGCAGGCAAAGCTGCTGAGTGGTCCCTGTGCTGGGTAGCCAACTTCCCAGCATCTGCAAAATTAATTTTAAAGGCCACTACCCGTTTAAGATGAACAACCTGCCCTCAGAAACTTTCACCAGCCCTAGAAGCCGAAGCCCCACTTCTCTGGCGCCACGGCAGCACAGACAGCTGTATTTCTAACCAAGGAGTCGATTTGGAGGAAGAAAGCACAAACAGTCCATTAAGGTTGTTTATCATCTAAACTTCTCTTCACTGGCTCAATAACAAAAGTGAAATAGGCCACAGGAATTAAGGGCGGCTGTACAAACATTAATATCCTGGGGGCATTGTTCAGAGATGAGACGGAGATGCCAGAGATTTGTAAGACACCGATCAGAACACGAGCCCTACACCTGCAAGGACAGGGCTACCGGATGAAAAGCCGGGCGGTTAAAACCGACCCCAGAGCTGCGCAGAGGCTGCAGCGAGCCTGACTCTGTGTCCCAGGGACGTGGGTCTGCAGGAGTCCCCCCGCTGCCCTCCTGTGACCCCGGGAGGGACAGGGCACCCATGGCTCTGCGGGAGAGGCCACCCCACCAGATGGAAAGCTGAGAAACCACCCCACTCCTGAAAAATAAGGTTTTTATAAGCAAACATCTTCTGACAAGAATAAGCCCATCAGCCCAAGCAGCCGGGCGGCAGCCGAGCTCCTGTGCCCCGAGGTGTGAGCGTTCTGACACGCCAACCCCGCCATCTGTGAGGGCACAGAACAAACCCGCCCAGGGAAGCTGAGCTTTACAAGTAATGCTACAACAGGGAGCTGAAAGCAAGGAAAACCCCCAACCCTGACAGAAAAAACCCCAAACAACAAACGTGAAGGAAGAGCGGAGCTGCTAACCACGCTGCTAGCAAGGAGCACTACAGCCACGGCCAGCACCTGCGAGGGCAACCAGCCACCGAGCGGCTGACGGAGCGAGGCCTCCCTCAGCCACCCCGCCCTGGGAAGCCCGTCAGCAAACACCGAGGGCCCCCCCGGCTCCGCAACCCAGACAAGGGATGTTCCAGCTTCCACAGCGCCCTGGGCACACGGACGGGCGTCTGCCTTGCCACCTCAGGGCTCCCACGGCACCCACCTCGAGGTGAGCTGGGTGCAGCCAAACGGGATCTTTGCATCTCCTGGGCGGGCTCCGGACAGAGCCCTGACAATTCTATCAGGTCCTGCTTAGCTGTGCTGAAGCAGGTGAATAAAAGCATCCTGTGACTCAGTGAGGCTTTGCTAACACAAGCCCCCGACAACACGAGAGCCCGACACGTGCTAAGAAACCGATGGAGTGACTTGGCTGCCACGTCAAATAGCTTCGCTTGCTTTCAGCAAACATGAAATCTGCTCGTGGGGCTTTTCTGTTAACTGCTGACCCTGAACACCCCGACACACCTCCAGCCTCTACTGCCCGGATCGTTCGTGGCCAGGAGGGGAAGCAGGGCTGTGGGGCAGGATCCGTGCCTCCGCCGCAGCTCGCTGCGCACAGAACTGAGCCGTGAAAGGCCCCGAGAGCGTCGCCAGGACAGACGTGAGGTCGCTCCTCGGCCGGGGCAGCCCCGCAGAGCCAGCGACAGGCAGCCCGCTGCCCCGGCCCCACGCACCCCGCTGCGCTTCCCGGCCCCGGGTCCCACCCGGGGGTCAGCAACGCTGCCCAGGCTCCCCCCGAGCGGACCCTCCCCTGGGGGGGAGCCCAATTCCCCCCCGTGCGCCCCGGGAAAGCTTCTACAGCTCTGCCGGCACTGGCTGCACCTCACCCACCGCGCTGCCTCGCAGACCCTGACACCCCACTAAACCCAGCTCGTGCTCTCATCCATCAGCTCCTCCAGCCGCAGCCCAGGTTGGTACCTGCTGCCGTGCGCTGGGAAATCTTCTGCAAACCCCCAAACCCCCCCCCAGGACTGAAGTGTCGTGGTTAAACCCCCCAGAACACAAACACACCCCGAAGTCAGAGCAGCTCGGCCAACTAATGAACCCTCTCTACCTCCTGTACCCACCTGTAAAGCCGAGCAGAGCTGTACCACAGTGCGGTTATTCTCTATTTTCAATATACACACCCAGAAATTAAATTTTCTTGCCTTCCTATTGTGCTTTTATGCACGTGAGCATGAAGGCACCATCTGTTATTGATATATAGGACCCCATAAACATGCAGATTGATTCTCCTGGCTTACATAGGATAATCACTTAGCTTTGTTTGTACTAAACAGGAACAAGTTGATTTAATCCCCTTACTAACACAGCAAAAACCCTTCAGGCTTCTGCAGATAAAGGAGGATGCTTCAGACCAAACCACCTGTAATGGTACGTCCGATGTCTGGAGCTCAGACACAGGAAAGCCCAAGCCTGGGCTCAACCGCTTCGTTAAACCGCAGCGTTATTTTTTGTCTCTGGAGGGCAAGTGGATGCTGTATCTTCAGGGGCTTCATTCACAGCTGCACATTGTGCCCCGAGAGGCAAAGCTGACCCGATGCTCTCTGTCCACGCGGGATGGGAGCACACGGTTTAGGGGCAGCAGCCCCTGCCAGGACCATCCTGCCCGGGCTCTGGCGCCTGCGCCCGCTCGGCACAGCCCAGCCCCAGCTCGGCGCTTCGGCCCGAGCCAGCAAACCCCCCGGCAGGCTCCCACCTCCCCCAAGGCTCCCCCCTCCCTGCGCAGGGCCACGGCACACCCGCACCTCCGAGGGGGCTGCGGCGCTTCTCCCAGGCAGCACGGCCAGCGGAGCCACCGCTCAGACTACCTGTGCGCTTCACTGCGGCAAACGTGCCATTTTCTGCCTCTGCGAGCAGGCAGGGATGGAAGAGGGGGCTTATATTCGCAGACAATCTGTTCACCTGGAAAGGGCTGCTTTGCTCAGGCACAGTCAAACTCCTCCATCTGGGACAGGAAGGGGTGACGGCTTGTGCCAGCGCCCATCTGCACGCGCCCGCACGCAGGAACCGGGAGCCTGGCTCCTGGTAACCAGCCCAGAGCTCAGCTGAGCTCCTGCACCACCGAGAGAGCAGCTCCGGCATCAGCCCTCGGGAAAAAAAAAAAAAATCCAAGTTGACAGCAGAGGAGGGAAATGCTCCATTTGATCTGCTAATTGATGCTGACTGTCAACTCAAGGAGCTGTGTTCTGGTTAACTCTCCATTTTGCTTCCCAGCCAACGATCTCTGATTAACGCTTGTTTCTTGGCTCGGGCCGGTACAAGGCTTTCAGGATCAGATGCTTTTCATCTCTGAGCTGTGCAACAGTAAGTGATGACTGGCACCGGCACGCTGGAGTGAAACCGCGTGGGAACAACAGAATTGTTTTGGAGAGCGTGGCAGTGAAATACCAAACCCATCACATTTAGGAGAAGAGGTTTCTCCAGTTGCTCCTTCTCTGGGTTTGTGCCCTCCTGGAAGACTGACCGTGCACCCACACGAACAGCGCGGCCTCGATGCCCCTGCAGCTCACTGTGATGTATTTCACCGTATTCCAGGGGAAAAACGTAAATACTTCTTTTCCAGCTTACTGACAGTTCTTTGATACCACACATATTTTTAATTAAACTTTCTGCTGTAGCAGTTTGGTGGCGGCAAAGAACGTCATGAGTTTTTATGCGCTCCCCTGGAAGAACAGTTGTACAAAGGGAACCACCACTTCACTGCAAAAAAAATGAAGAGAATTTATAAAGGACCACGCTCTCCATGCGTGGCTAAATGTCCTCCCATGCAGCCTCACATCTCCAGAAGTGAGAAAAGCCGTTACAGCTACACCCAGCAGACGTTTCAGTCATGGTCTCTCCTTGTCTATTTACAGCACTCACATTTGGACTGATGCAACAGCAAACAAAGCCAACAGTGGGATTCATCCCTGTTCCAGCCTCCGCTCCCTCGGGCACGCTGGGGATAACACGTTCAGCATCACCAAGCACCTTCCCGCCCCCCTGCCTGGCCAGGGACACAGTGGACTTTCCCTTTATGTCCCAACTACCAACAGCAAGAGGAGTAAGAGAGGGTGAGAAACTTCCTGGACATTCCCCCGTCGATCACCAGCGTGGATTCTGGATTTTACCACGTTCTGCTGCGGGTGGGTGCCAGGCGGCTGGGAGAGTGTCCCCTCTCCAGCCCCCCGAGGTGTGGGGGGGCACCTGCGCAGCTCCCCGCCACGGGACAGGCCAGTGCTGCTCTTTCACACCAGCTCCAAATCCTGGCAACGCTGGAAAGAGGCTTTGAAATGCCGCAGTGGGAGCGTTAAGCACAAAATGTGTCATTTGTAGACACAAACACTATTTTGAGGTACAGAACATTCAGATATTTTAAATATTAACTATTAAAAGCAAACATTTTTTAAATTCCTACACAAACACATATTTATAGCCCCGTTTGACACTGGCTGGCTGAGATGAGGCTCAGTCCCAAGCAATAACCGCATGCATAACAACATCAGGACCTAGCCAGCCTTTATTCATCACAGCCCAAATTAATTCAGACTGCATTTAAGTCTTGCTTAGGCCCAGTCCATTGAGAGCTCAGGGCACTGGGCGACACAGAGCTTCACCGCAAATTAAAAGATCTGATAATGAAAATACTGCCCTGACCCAGCAGCACTGATCTTCAGGTGCTGCTAAAGGGCGACTCATCAGAGCTGCACGGAAACCTCTGCAGGACGGAGGCTCTGTATGTGATCTCAGGAAAGCTGTTCAGAAATCACATTCATTTTCACTAGGCATCGTTCTTCTTCTCAGGCAAAGATGCACAAAGCTCCCCTGCCCTTGCCTAAGGGGGAGGAGGGGTCTCTGCGAGGTGCCCTCAACTCCCACATCCCATCCAACGCTCCCGTCTCCTCCCGACCTTCACCTGAGACAAGTCAGAGCAGCCCTCCAGTCCCACCCGTGTTTCTGCTCAGTGTAGCGTAACGGCACAGAAAGGATCTGGGGCTTTTTTTTCCTTTGTTTTTAGTACGTACACAGGCGGTAGCACAAGTTGTGGTGCTAGGAGCAGAGAGCACGGGCACCAGAACACAACCCAGTTCTGACAGATTCCCCTCGTGCTGGGCACCCGCAGCCCGACCGGGGCAAGGGGGGCAAGGGCCCCCACACGCGTGGGCCTGCCGGAGGTGCAGGGACAGCACCGTGCCCACTGGCTGCTCCCAGCCCTTACCCCTTTGCAGATGGCCACTGCCTCCTTGGACATGGACTTGGGGTAGGCGACGTTGTGCTCCATGATGGACTGGAAGAGCTCGTCCTCGTCTTCCCCCTCAAAGGGAGCCTAGAGCAAAGCAAACAGAGGGTCAGCGCCACTTCTCGATCCTTGAGCTTCTGTCTGCAGCCACGATCCTCAGGAAACCGGCCGCGCTGCGCGGGGACTCGTGTCTCAGCATGGCAGCCCCCGGGGCTGCGCCCACGGCTTCACCCCCCCGCGTGGAGCAGACACCCCCCCGCCGTGTGCCAGCAGCTGAACAAACTGCCCGTCAGCGTCCGCTCGCAACGGAGCTCAACACCATCCCACAGGAATCAATTAAAATTCAATTACCTGGCCAGCTAACATTTCATAGAGCAGGACTCCAAATGCCCACCAATCCACGGACTTCCCATAGGGCTGGTAAGCAATTATCTGAAAACAACACAAACAGCAGGATTACACTCCCATTTTTAACCTGTTGGCACGACGCAAACTCATTTCAAGCTGCAGTCCACACCAAAAGGGCAAGGTTATTTACTGAGACACCAGTCCCTGAAACGGTGGGAAACCGCGGCTATAAAGAGCGCACGACAGGCAAAAGGTTCAGCAATTTTAAAAAACCATCAGCTCTCAAACACGCAGTAAATATTAGAAAAAAAACCCTAGATTATTCACTGTGATTTGAGACATTCATTCTGATTCAGACAAAATTCAGCATATGCGTTGTGCTGTTGCAGACTCGGAGCAGCAGCCGTTCCTGCTTTTCCTGATGCACTTAGTGATGTTTTTATTTTTTTTTTCCCCGCTGACTTCAGTGCAGTTGGTTTGAAATAACAAGGCAGAGTGTGGCCCTTAGTGGATGGTACGTGGCCCTTTTAAAACAGACTTGCAGCATATGGGAACTCAAACCCCTCTGCATTCCCAGCTGCCAGTTCGCTTTCTATTATTTATTGCAGAGCATCCTTCAGAAAATAACCTAATAACAGCCCTGCCCTTACCTGAGCGCTGTGGTTGCTTTGGAGTTAGGATATAACTTTGTTTTTTTTTTTTTATATTTAAAAATATCAATATTTATTTTGGATAATATGAATTTTTTGTATTTTCCCATGATTTACTCCCGATTTCATGGCCACAGGACCCCGCAGCAGAGCCCCCCCGCAGAGCGAGGCTGTGTCGGTGCTTTGGGGGCACCTGCAGCCGGGGCGGGGGTCGGTCCCTGCCGGCGGGACCCCACGTACGGAGCAGACGGGAGGGACCAGCCCGGGAGGGTCCCGGGGTGTCCCTCAGCCCCGGCTCCGCGGCTCAGCGCCGCCGGTCACCACTCCGCACCCTCGGCCCAGGGTTGCTCCACCGGCCAGCGCCGCCCTTCCCTGCCTTGGCCCGGGGGTCCCGGCCCCGGCCGCGCTCCTGCGGGCACGGGTCACTCTGAGGGGCCTCACGCTCTGGTTTACTCGCTGGGTTGGTGCTGACGGGTGGAATTTCAGCGGTTGGGGTTTGACAGGCCTTGGGCTTTGCCATCTGTTACTTAATGCAAAACAATTACGCAATTTATTCATCCTAATTACCGAATTCTATTCCGCCAAGATTCCTGCACTTAAGCGGGGATGCAAATCGTATGCTAATGGAAGGGGAACGCCCAGAGCCAGGCGGCCCCCCAGGCCGCCACCCCCCCCCTCCAGGCTCTTGGGACAAGGCCCCGCAGCGCCCAGCGGGATCTGGCCTGGGGGTGCCACCAGGGGCGGGCGAGGGGCTGCCACCCACCTGAGAGGGAACGAGTCCATGCCCTGCACGCGGCGAGACAACAGGACCGACAGCAGCCCCCTGCCCACCCGGCCTGGCCCCACCGGACGCCGAGTTCCAAGCCAGAAGAAATCCCTCACCCAGCAGCTTCCAATCCCTCCCACTTGTCGTTCCGATGATTTCCTGCGCTCTGGGAAATTCAGGTGTGAACCGTTCACACCACGAAGGCCTTTAAAAGGAACTAGTCCTTAGGAGATTGCGCGCGGAGCTCCCGTAAGCCGCAGTCGCCAAGCGCACGCGAGGGAAGGTCAAAGCCCAGCAGCCGCAGAACACGGAATTACACACGCGGGGTCACTCGCGCTCGGTCCCCGTCACCTCGGCACGCAGAGCTGTACCTCAGAATAGACAAAGCCCTAAAAATGGGTCAAGATCACAGCAGATCACAGGACATTTCTCCCCTGAAGACACGTTGGCTCGGGAACGCCGCAGGTCCCTGGCGCGAGGCAGCGCGGAGCAGCAGAAGGGCCCCAGAGCGGAGCCACACGCAGGGACCTCGGCTCTGCCACCCAGGCAGAGACCACCCCGGCACCGTGCCCCCCCTCTTCTACTTACAAAGTAGGGGACGTGCACATTCCCTTTTTCCGAGACCCACTGGTAGCAGGCTTTAATACCATTCCTGGGCACTGTAGCAATCTGCATCCTAATTTCCCATTTTCTCTCTTTTTTTTTTTTTTTTTTTTTCCCCCAAAAAGAAAAATAGGGCAAGCAGAAGAAAGTAAGAATTTAAGTGATGATGCTCAGCCAAATACCAAGAGAACTGGTCATCTGTCCTGCTCTCCAAGCGAATTAATCACAGGCAGCAGCTGAGGCACGTACCAACAGGACACCATATTCATCTTGGTACGATGAGGATGCGTAATAACGAGTAATTAAAAACCTCTCTGGCAGCAACAAAACACAACATAGTTTAGCATAAAAGTGCATCTATGTCCTAGCAAAGAGAATCTCTTTCTCTAAAATATTTAAATGAATAAATATTAATCTCATCATTGAAAATTCAGCAGAGTGAGGAGATTTTAGAGGGATATTTTTACGTTAAGGGAACAGGCATTTGGGAATAATTACCTACCTGAATTTCACACGTCTGACATTAAATTGCACCCATATAGCACTTTAGGTAAGTGTCATATGTGACTCCATCTCGTAAGTAATAAGCAAATGCAAAGCAATTTTGCAGCGATCTCGAGCTGTAGAGAGGGAGCCTCTCCTCATCAGACACACAGCCCTTCGCTGCAAGTAGCAAACTGGAAAGATCTAAAGATTTCCACTTCACATGGAAATATTATTCACTGATAATTCCGTTTTTCCCACCGGTCCTGTTGCGCTGGAAGTGGCTGTCGCATGCGGCGAGAGGCTCATCCTCCTCCCCCAGAGCGAGGAGCAGCCCTTGGCGGGTTTGAGCGGGCCAAGGACCGGACAGGGGCGGTGACACCAGTGGCACAGACACGGGAGAAACACCCAGAGAGGGAAAACACGCTGCAGGGAGAGCAGCGTGGAGGAGCCGCCGTGCTCTGAGGCAGAAGCAGGGCGCGCCGCCGGAGAGGCAGATCCGCCATCGCTGCCGCCTTAAAGGTAGCCCTGGGGGGACAGAGCGCGCCGAGGGGGTGGATGAACTTTCCAGGCTGGCAGTGAATTCACTAACGTGCCCGGTGCAGTCAGAAAGCTCCCAAAGCAAGGTCACCCCAGGGAAAAGAGCATCAGGCCGGCTGCCGAAACACGGACAGAGCACGTCCCGCCCTTCCGCGGCCCCTACCTCGGGCGCGATGTAGTCCGGAGTGCCGCAGAAGGTCTTGGTGGTCACCCCGTCCCAGATGTTCTCCTTGCACATGCCGAAGTCCGCGATCTTTATGTGCCCCTCGCTGTCCAGCATCACGTTGTCCAGCTTCAGGTCTCTACAAAGCGAAAGCAAAACAGTGACACGGGAGGCCCCGCGTGACGCCACCCAGCGAAGACACGCGGATCCCGACTCCGGCTCTCTCCCGCGAGTGAGCTCTGGCTTCGTCTCACACCCAGGCTCTTTGTAGGATAACATTTGGGGAAACGAGTAAAAATAAGTCAGAGATCTGTCAGGATGAAGTGTTTATTTTACTTTTAACCCACAGGAACACCATGCTGGGCAAATTGCTTTTAAGTGTACGACAGAAAACACTCTCATCTAGCAGGGAGACAGATTTCATAGATTTTTTTTTTTTTTTTTTTTTTTTTGGCGCCTATGAAAATCAAAGTGTATTTAAAGCTCACCAGCAATGAGGAAGGACCTACTCAGCAGAAGTCCCTGCATCACCTATGCTACGCTCCCCCATGAAAATACAAATCTGTGTTCCTCTGATCCCCATCCACAGGGTATCTGTTCGTTATGCCCAACCCTGCAGGAGCTTTGCTCTTTAGCACAAACTGTGGAGGCGGTTCCAGCTGCAGAGCTCCCCATCCGGCTCCCAGCCCTGACCAGCCTCCCCAGAGGACACCCAGAACACACTGAAGGGCAGTTTTGCAGCAAAACCTCAGTATTCCAGGCGCAATTTCTACATCCCCAGCCACGTAATTACCGTCCAGTTCCCTGCTCTGTGCCGTGCCTGGCTTATGTTCTGTACAGTAAAGCAGGACCCAAAGGTTTCCATTTTGATGTTGGAGCATGTCTGCAGGATTTCCCTCGCCCAAGGGCGACATCAGGTGACAAGGCAGGTGACAGAGCGGGCCAGGCTCAGTTGGCTGGGTCCCTGCAGCCCTGTCTGGCTGCACACCCCATCTGCACATCGGGGTGACCCCTCTTCGTAGGGACCCCTGGCTGAACTGCCCCGCGGGGACCTGCTGGGCAGAACCGCGGGGCCGCACGGCGCACGAGGCTTGACTTCGCTAGGCAGGAGCCCAAGAAAAGGAACAGTATTAATTCACAACTTCTTGCTGGTTTTTGAGACTGTTTTTCCCAATTATTGTGTCAGCGCTTAGAAGTCTGACAGGCCAAAGGCAGACGGACACGAGCCTGGATTTGAATTCGGAGGAAGGAAGGAAGACGAGGCACTGGGGACTGGCAGACCTAGAATCTCTCTGTAGCAGCTTGATGGCAAAAAGCATCCCTCCCGTCAGCTCTGTTCCACTTCTTTCATCTTCGGAGCAGTCTTCAGCATCTCATAACTTCAGTAGCACAGCTGGCATTGCTTTTTGCAAAGCAGTTAATGGTATCTGACACTCATTAGGATGCTCTGCTCTACGCGGGGGGCTCTGGGAAGGCTCCCGAGCGCGGAGCGGCGGCGGCACACGAGCCCCAGCAGCCTCAGAGCCCGGCCCGGGCCTTGGCAGCGACCCAGCTAACCCGGGCTGCTCTAATCACACCGCGAACGGGACAGAAGTGCTCGTGCCTGAACCAGAAGTGACAGACTGGCGCTGCAGATCTCAGAACAAGCCATTCGTAAGCACTTACTCTAGTGCTATCGGTCAGAGAATAGTGCCCTGCAGCAAAGTACAGGGCTCACCACTGGTCCCTGCTGCCAGGGAGCATTTGTCTCACAGGAAGAGAAACACGTGAAACAGAGGCAAGAGAGGAACCAAAGCTGCCTCCCTACGAAACGGGGACACAGACAAGAACCTTCTCAAAACCCAGCTCCGTTTCAGGCCAAGCCTGACCCGCGGCACTAGCAGGGAGCCGAGCCCCATGGCCAGAGCCCCGCCGAGCTCCGCAGTGGTCCCACCGCTCCGGCTGTGGCTGGAGCTCTCTGGGGAAGAGAGGAAGGAGGAACTCGCTCACCTACCGATAAATGATGCCTTTGCTCTGCAGGAAGAAGAGGCCAATGGCTATTTCTGCTGCGTAGAACCTGAAATGAAAGATTTAAAAGGCAGACTGATAATTAAAGGATACTGAATCAAAATGAAAACCTTTCAAATCCCATCGCGCTAAATGAAACACGTCAGGCATACATGACCAAAGGATAAAGACTGCCACGACATAAAACCATGAGACAAGTATCACAGAATGACACGGCCCACCCTCCGCTCCTATCGGGCAGGGACGCAATCAGGTTGCTGTGGGCTAGCGGGGGGCTGTCACTTCTCGTTACACAAATTCTCATTAAGCGAGGGCTGGGATCTATGGCTGTTCATTACCGTGTGCTGGCAAGGCAGCTGCAACGTTATCTGTTATCTCGGGGAGGCTGTGGAGATAACACACACCACCACTGCTTTCTTTAAAGAATATTCTGGGTCTCGGAGGACTCTCCAGAGTGCAATACACTGGTTCAATCCCACCCGGGCTCTGCTCACTGTTTGTGGTTTTTATTTAAGCATACAAAGGCTTTCATCAACACATTCTGCTCTGTCCAGATCACAGGGAGCCAAAAGCCACCCGTGAGCACTCGGGTTGGCAGCGGAGCTGAAGACCCGACGTCCCTCTGATATCCTGGGGAGGGCCCCGGGGCAGAACAGGGCTGTGCTGGGTGCGGGGCTCACCGGCTGCTGCCCGTGTCTCCCAGGGAGGCTCCAAACCTCCCGCCTGGAGCTTTTATGAAGGTCAGCTGTTTACCTGCCAACAAGTGCAACGTATCCCGAAGATGAGCTGGAGGCACCAGCATCCTTGGCACCAGGCAAAGAATCGTCCTGCACCTTCTGATTCCTGCCGCCCTTCCTCTGCCCTCCCTTTCTGCCCAGCACTTGCACCACAGACGCCCGTGGCTTGGACTATTTATGGCAAAGGTACATCAAATACCTACCCTGAAGGTGCCAAACTGGGCTACTGAACTTACACAGCGTGTGGCTCCTTAAACCTCCCAACCTGCTGGATCTGGTACATTAAGTCCCCACCATTCACGTACTCCATCACAAAATACAAGCGATCCTAAAGGAAAAAAGCAAGCAGTTAGCAGCAGAATTATTAGAGCGGGGAATCTGCAGGGGTCAGAAATAAAGACCAAGGCAACTGACAGCTCCAGGCTGTATTTTTCATGGCAGCACAATTCTCATCACTGCCCTCCCCAAGGGGTGCAGGCGGAGCTCGTGTTCATCCAGGGTCCCTAAGACAGATGGACTCATTCCTCTGCAACGCTCTGGGCTCCAGCTCTGCACTCTGCAGACAGATCCCACGGAGAAGGCAAGCAGAGGGATCCCTAAAGCAGAGGGTTCTCACTTCCCATTAATAGATTTGCTGTCGTTCCTCACGGAAGCCGTTCTGCAGGGTGTCTGACCAGACAGCTCCGTGCTGGAATTTCCCCGGGCACTGTGTGGATTCATGCAGGAGGGATGTGAGCAGCTCCTGCAGGGACCAGCCTCTGTGCACGGGCAGGGACCGGTATGATGTGGCTGAGCACCGGGAAGGATGAGCACCAGCAGCCCCCCCCATCAAGCTGAGGAGGCTGCATCCCCTCTCTTCACTCCTCCCAGCCTGGGCTGAGGCTGCACTTAACATTCACACATGGTTAATTAATTAATTAATTGTTAAGAGCAGAACAAGCAGGTCCATCGGTGACTTTGAATCAATTAAAACACTCGCAGGTAGGTGCAATCACAGCCACCTATCAGCACAGACTTTGCCTCTAATGTGTAAGATGCACTTTGCTTCCATTAATTAAGACTCTCCAGATTGAAGCGCCCCTCCCTCTTCCTCAGTGTGGTAGCCTCGTAGGTGTGGGCCTAAGAAATTCCCAGGTGTTTTTCTCAAGCCGTGGGCAGGGGCAGGCTCGTGCCCTGCCCTGGAGCCGCCGTGGCCGCAGCGGGCGGCCGGGGGTTGTACACACAGCACCTGCGTCGCTGCGAGCGCGGGTCCCACGGGGTGTAAGCCCAGTCCCCTGAACGCTGCTAGGGATTTGAGCACGTGCGGGCCATCATCAGTCCCAAGGAGGGCAACGAGGCAGGAAGCAAGGCCTGAGTATTCCCACAGAGCTCGGAACCATGGATTAATAAAAGAAAAGCAGCTGGATCTTATCATGCCACCTCTCGAGCTCCAGCACGAGCCCTGCAAGTCTGGGGAGACCCAAGATCTGGGCAAGCAGGAGCTTCACACCAGCAGCACCTCTACCCCGAGGAATCCGTGCCCTTGAAATGCCACTTTCCTCTGATGTTTCACTTTTTTTTTTTTTTTTTTTTGTTAGTGGGAAATGGCTGTGAAGAAAATCGTGCAAGACTGCCAAAACCCACCAACCTAAACCACTGCAGGACGTTTCTCGGGGAGGGAGAAGCAACAGCTCCGGAGCGCAAGGGAGCGGGACACCGACTGCCAGCCAGCAGACATCTGTGCTCCGACCTCTGCGTGTGTCCCCTACAGCGGAGAACAGCAAAGCGCTGCGTAACATCAGGCCCGAGTCACCCTCCTTACAACAAGTGACTTTCTACAGCCTTCAAACACCAGCTCTGGGGCCTGGACACACAAAGGTGTCCCTGGGCTGGCCCCAGCGCTGGAGCGCGAAGGAACGACACGAAGGCTGGAGAGCCTCAGCCTGGCAGAATTACATAATAATTCATAATATTTCCCATTCTTCATTTCCTCCTGAAATAAACCTTGCCCTGCTTTTAAGACACTAAGGACAAGGAGCCCGGAAGATATGCAAATGTGAGCATTACCATAATAAGGGCTACGCAGTTACTTGGGTAATGGGCTCCTCCTGCAGAGCCCACCCTGACACCCCCCTCAAAGGGAATCAAATACCCTTCTAGGGGGCAACCAGGCTACGGAAAACGTGTGGCACTGATGGGATAGAAAAGAGATTTCAGCTCATCAGATGCCTGGGAATTTCGGAGCATCCCCCTCTGTCAATGACTGCCTCTGCCAAGGCGTTGAGCCAGTTCAGCAGCGAGGGGCAGGCAAAGTCACCTTCAGCAGCCACCGTCACGCTACTCACCCTGCGACAGCAACTGGAAAGCAAAGCAATATCGTGCTCGCTTGCAGCTGCTTCCTAAATATATCGATCAACTTCAAGGAGGAAGAATATTAAAAGGATGGTCTCTTGAAACAGCCAGCTGAGCTCTAAAAGCAGGATCTGAGCTTTCCTCATTTGGGGGGAGAAGAGAATGCTGGTGCTTCAGAGAACAAACCCATGATGAATAAAGCAGCCAGATGGCTGGCCAGCCTACGGGCTGGGAGCGAGGGGTGGAGAGGGAAAGCTGCCCTGGCTCTTGCCTATGGCAGAAAAGGACGAGCTCTGCCCAAGGCTGGAGCATCCCAACTCCCCGAGCCACGGTGAGTTACAGATATGTAAATACCCCCGCAGAGCTGTACATGGAGCTGGTAAAACACACACACGTCCCTTCCCTGGGCAGCCCACAACTGCCGGGGCTCCTTCCACTGCCCCCCTTCTCCCCCTCCTCCCCCTCACGAACCACCCGACGGGTCCTGCCCGACTTCCCCCCGCGCCCGAGAGCCGAAGCCAGGCCAGCAGCTGCGCTCCCCGTCCCCCCGTTATTTATCACTTCTCGGTGTCAGTGCTGCTGCCGAGCCCCAGAGGAAGGGAGGGCGTCAGCAAAGGCCTGGCTCAGCTGGGGACGCCCAGCTCACCCTCCTCCCAGAGGCCCAGGCGCTGGTCAGGATGTTTTTAGGGCAGAGCACCCCAAAATCCCACAGCCAGCCCAGCTCGGGGCTTCTCGTCCTTCAGACACGCAGGAGCTGTCTCATTGCTCATCTTCACTTACTCTTTAAAATGCAGATTTTGGGCTTTTCTCTCTCCCACCAGACGCTGAACAGCCCCGGCTGGGAAGTGTGCTCTGGACTGTGCTCCCAGAAATCAAAGTGCTTTGTGCCAGCATTTGATAATACACCCTGCTATACATTTTGATTACATTACAAATACGATTACTATTAAGCTACTATAGGTCTGCCAGGAATAATCCTGCGCTGACTCACTTCAGATGCCAGAGAGATGCTGTGTGAAATAGCTTCTCCTGCCACATTTTGATTACTGCGCTGCAAAGCTGGTCTGCAGGCTTTAAATACACTAAATGTGTTTGGTAAATGAAATTTTTGGGATAATATTAAAATGTAATCCTCCTGGATGGCATTGTCATCGTTCTAAAGGACTCTGCTGATTCCCTCTCCTGGCTCCCACTGCCACGTACCTGGAGGTTTTCATTCACAGGCTGCTTGATGGCTGGGCAGAGATTGCTTTAAAGGTTCCCTGTCCCCTTCCTGACCCCCCCCTCCCCGCTTCCGACTCGTACAAACTCAATCACATGCCCATTTCAAACTGAATTTCTGCCGTTTGTACTGGGCTTCATCCTCTACTCAGGCTTTTGACCATAACAGCGAATCCTGAGAAGAAAGCGCAGCACTTTGCTATTGAATCATAACGGACATCACAGGCTGGGGGGGCCACCCGAGGGGCTGGGAAATCACATCTAACGGCATCCAACAGCTCCCCGATGAAAAAATCTCAGGGGTGCAGATGCTGTGTGTTGCTGCCTCCAGTTTAACACACACACGTTTTGCTCACGGCACCGAGTTGGACGCGTTGTGAGGTTGCCAAGGCCAGAAAAATCACGGCCACTTTTGCAAGTGTAGTGAGGTATATCCAGAAAAGAAACACAGAGGTATGTTTTAGAGAAGCTAAAACACGTGGCCAGGGCAGAAGTCCCTACAGCTCCATCCACACAGCTCCCAGGCACCCTGCAGCCACCCAGAAAGGCACTGCTCCTGGGTAACTGGTGGCACTGGGTCTCTCCAGAAGAGGGTTTCTGCCCACAAACTCACCGCTGAAGCCAAGTGACTAAAATGGGGTTTGTAAAGGGTCAGGCTCCCCCAGCTCAAGGTTCAGGCGCCAGCGGGGTCCCTGCTCCACGCGGCCCTTTGCCCGGGGACCGGCCGTGGCGCCGGCGCTCACCATCGTCTGAAAGCAGGAGTGGAGCTGGGTCAGGAACGGCGGCTTCCCGGAGAGAGCCAGGACGCGCTTTTCAACCATCGTGCACTCCACGTCGTCGTCCTGGATGACAACGTCCTTCTTCAAGATCTTAACGGCGTAGAGCTCGTCCGTGCCCTTCCTCTCCGCCAGCATCACCTGCACGAGGGAGAGGACACACACGGGATAAAGGAAAACGTAGATCTGCGATGTTTCTAGCTCGCCACAGCCAACAGTTAAAAATAACAGCTTGCCTATTATCCCGTGGCTCCCATTGTAACTCTGAAAAGGGATTCAGGTGCCAAATGATGCAGGAAGCTACCAGCGGTATGTCCAAAAGTATTCGGGCCCTTAGTCTGACCAGTCACACATCTCCCCCCTCACCACCCAATCGCCTCGAGGAACCCAGACCGAGGGGTTTGCTGATGCCTGAGCCACAGGTCACCCTTCACCACCTCTCCTCACTGAGCCGGGCCCTGGTTTGGCACCCTCCGGGCACAAGCAGCATCGGGGAGGGCATCAAGAGTTTGAAGAGAGAGTCCATCAAATTACAAAGTGGTAAAAGTGGAAACGAGTCGGTATAGAGCCAACAGTAAGAACACCGAGATATTCTCTGTCCCTCAACACACAGAGTGATCAAACCCCACTCCGTGCCCATCCATCACCAGTCAGAGCCCCTCTCGTGCGGAAGAATCCGTTCAACCTCCCATTTTAAACCAGTTTTACCGATTTTCAGGTTTATTTATTATAATAAATGGGATGCGCTGGTTCTGCTGGTGCAAATTTCCCTCATTAATCCCATCAGCACCAGTGAGGTTCCCCAGACCGATCCACCATGCTCCATCAGCGTAAGCTGCTCCTTGGGCTGCGGCAAAATAAACAGACTCTGAAACCACATTTTCCTTCCCATTTTCCCTCCTCGCACTCTCTCATCACGTTAGATCTGAGCGCTCAGTGGAAATGAATTGCTTTCCACTTGAAAGAGTCTGCAGAAATCCTCCAGTCGCATCAGGAACAGGAGTTCGGGTGTTTTGAAAATAAATTATGAGAAGTCAACATCAATAGGGTGGAACTGAAATGCATTTCAGACTGGAGTAGATTGGCAGAGGAAACGCAAGCGGGTCTCAAAGGCGACTCTCGAGACACTGAGGACAGAAGAATTAACCCTCTCGTCAGCCCCGGGCAGACGACACGGCGCTGGGAGCCCCCCCAGAGCCCTGAGCCGGGGGCAGAGCCTGTCCCGGGGCAGAGCAGCCTTCTGGGGTTTGGGGGACGGCAGGCCAGCCCTGGGGTGACAAGGCAGGGGACACAGTTCGAGGACTCAGGTCTTCGGTGCCCACCCGCTTGTGGTGACAGTAGCGGTGCTCGGGGAGGGCCCCTCCTGCGAGCGCCCGCTCGGGCTGGTTTGGGCCCCGGCTGTGGCGCGGCGGCCGCTGGCTGTCCTTGACACGCTGCTTGTCAGGATTAGCCAGGAAAGGCACCGGGGCTCCTCGGCGCCAAGTGCTTTGGAGAAGCCACTGACATTTACATTTTCATCAGCCGGGCTGGGATTGCAGCAGCCACACGCCACGCTCCTCCGCTGGCAGGGCTAAAAACCAGACCGACAGTGTGTCAGCGACTTCAGTAGCTGATTTATTTACTCGCTGATATTTGAAGAAGGTTGAGAACCTGGAGCCCGGAGCAGCTCAGCTGCTGTGGTGCAGCCCAGCAAGGCACAGGCACTGGAACCAGATTTGTGCTTCATCCTTTCCTGCTACCAGCCCCTGGGGGTGCCCTGCAACAGCCCCTCGCACCGAGCCCAGGAGCTCGGCAACCCTGAGCGCCCGCGGGCAGGGACGGAGCGATGCCCTGCCTGCACCCTGCCTGCACCTGCGGGCAGACCCAGCGGCTTCACACCGAGCCCGCACCTCCGCCCTGGCTTGGGATCAGCGCAAAAGGAACCATTTTCAGTTCATCACCTCCATTTATCTTCACCGTTTTTAAAGGAGTTGAGATTTACAAGTCACCCTCTACAGGTGCTAAAAAGTAGGGCTGATTTTTAAGTGATAAAAGCAGACGGGCTTTGGCCCCAAAGCTGGTGCAAAAAGAGAAACGACCCCTCCAAGAACACAGTTTGTGGGAAGATGAAACCTGTTACCTGGGAGTAAGTGCATTATAGGCACTTATCGATTACCTACAGACCTGTCCGTAAGCCCTTCAGAGAAAACACCACTCAACCAGGGAATCTCTGAGCCTGGCATCTGCTACGGACCCCGAAGGGACTGTGCTGGGGCAGGGGGTGGCAGCAGGAGCCCCCCTTGGAAGCAGAGAGTGCGGTAGAACCAGCTGCTGGGGAACGGGGATCGGCTGCGGGAAATATCTCTGCAGGGGAGCTGAACGCAGCGCTCGGAGCCTGTCCTGCGCTGGGGGAACCCCAGGAAGCGCCGTGGGTGCCACCAAGACGCTGGCGCACGATTCCCACCCGACCCGGGGCGCAGCCACTGCCGCCCCCCCAGCACACTCGTACCATGTTAAATGCCAAAAAACTGCTCTAGGGCATATACAGACACGCTGGCGCTTCCCAACGCCACGGCAATCCCGGGCCCCAGCTGAGCCAGCCAGCCCCGTGTTACCGAAATGGAAAAGGCAAAAGGACTTTGCAGCTGCCTGCAGATCAGCTGCGCGACACCCGCAGCGAAGAGGCCAAGTGGGAGCGTCTGGGGGATGCTGCAAACCACACGTTGCTGTATTTCTCCCTCGCATCTGGGCTGGCAGAGCGAGCGGCTCCAGGAGCGCACGTGAGGCCAACGCTGCTCAGGGTGCGGCAACCCCGGGGGGTTCGCGTGTGCCGAAGGGACTGCACGCGCCGGCCCAGGGCCAGGCGAGGAAATACCTTCTGCACCCTGAGCGGCGGGCACGGTGTCTGCGCTGCCCCGAGCAGGCCTGGCCCGTTCTCCGAGCAGAAGACGGGGCCGTTCGCAGCCTGGGGGGGTTACGTGTCCGGCTCCGGCGCCGTCCTGCTCCAAGCCCGCCTGTGGCAGCTCCGCAGTGTGGTGCCAGCGCGGTGCCAGCGCGGTGCCAGCGCAGCAGCTCGCAGCCAGGAGCCGTCCCCCGGGGTGCTCAGGCCTCAGGAGGGGGGCAGCCCCCGAGGAGCGGGCTTAGCTACTGCGGATCCTCATAAAGAAGAAGAGCGGGACCCATTGCACTGTAAAAATAAAAAGAGTCAAAGCCACGAAGGCAGCAGCGCGGTTTGCAAACGCCCCAAACGGGCTGCGCACAGGATGCACCCCGGGGAAGGAGGGACCGTGCACCCAAACCTCACGCCGTGCCCAGAGCTCAGCTCTGCGAGGCAGGGACCGAGCCCCTGCCCGAGCGCGGCAGCTGCCAGCCCTGCTGCCACGATTCACACCGAGAGAAGAGGAAAGCGTCTCACAGCTTCAGGACGATCACAGGACATGGAAATTGTCTCCCATTGCGCCGTAATCCCTAACTGCAGAGGCAAAAGAATCAGCCCTGCTCAGAAAAACACCATAAAACCCCCAGAAGAGATTGACAGCTTGATAGCATAACAGATTGATTAGCTGCAAAAATATGAGCAAGCCACGTAATTTAACTTTCCTCTATTTATATTACCGCAAAGCAAACCCAGGGTGGGCTGCGCCAAGTGCTGCCGCCTTCGGCCAGGGACACCTCCCGTCCCCTCACCTGCCCAGGGGGCTGTCACCGCCCCCCCTGTCACCAGCCACGGCTCCCAGGGGCTCCGATGCACCCACAGCCGGGGGGGCAGCGGCGGGGGCAGCCCAAGAAGACCCAAACCCACCAAGGAGCACCGAGGGTCGCCGGGGGCTGAACACGCCGAGCCAGGGCCACGCACGCCCGAGCTCCTGTTCCTGAGCTCTTTTCCAAACCAGAGCAATTTTCCATCCCCCTAAACCTCGATGCCTGGCTCTGTGGGGACCTCCATCTGCCAGCTCACTCGCTGGAAAGTAGCCTGCATTCTTTTTTTAATTTTTTTTTTTTTTTGGTGCAGAAAAAGCTGATGTTTAACTTGATTTATTCCTGTAATATAGAGTATTTGTTTGGGAACGCGCCAGCATAATAACTGGAGATATTCTGATGCTGAATGTAGAGAAAGCAAGTTGATTAAACTCCACCGAGGCCAACACGTAAGTACCCCCGACCCTGGACAGCTGTAGCGGTGGAGAGAGAAAATTATTGAGCAGTAAATTGGAGGTCCTGATGCCAAAAGGTGAACAAGCTGATGCATGAGACTCACCAGAACGATTTGGTGACACTCGAAGGGCTCCCGCGGGCTGTGTGACCCCCGGGGGAGGGATGCTGGGCCCTGGAGAAGGGCACCACTGCCCGGGGC